TAACGAGCGGCGCGAAGCCTTGATGCATTGGACCCGTATGATCCAAGCGGAGCATTTCGAGCTCGTGATTGATACCTTGAAGCGGGGCTTAGTTGTCAAGGGTGCGCTGGCCCGCCTGAACCTCTTCCTGGATGACTCGGGGATGCTTCGCGTGGGCGGACGTTTGAAAAATTCTCAACTGCCGTACGAGGCTCGACACCCTCTACTGCTCCCCAAGGACGGCGCCTTTGTTCGGTTGCTGGTAACTCACTACCATGTTCAGAATGCCCACGCTGGGTGCAACGCTCTTTCGGCCATTTTGCAGCGGGAGTTTTGGATTTTGGCGGGTCGACGCACCATTCGGAGCGTCATCTTTAAGTGCATATCTTGTTATAAGTTGAAGGCCCCCATATCACAGCCGATGATGGGCGACTTACCACCCGACCGCGTCAGGGCCATCCGACCATTCGCGGGAGTCGGAACTGACTTCGCTGGCCCCTTCCTCGTCAAGTCCTCTAACCTTCGTAACGCGCGTGCTCATAAGGCCTATCTGTGCGTTTTCGTGTGCCTCTCCACTAAGGCTGTTCACTTAGAACTTGTAAGTGCCCTTAGCACGGAGGCTTTTTTGTCCACACTGGGTCGCTTCGTATCGCGTCGCGGTTTACCGGACTTGATCCGGTCGGATTGCGGAACGAATTATAAGGGTACTGATAGGTATTTGAAGGAGGTCGTTGAATTTCTGTCTAGCAACAGGACCTATTTAACTACTGCGATGTCCAAGAAGGGCATCCAGTGGAAATTCGACCCTCCGGCTTGCCCACACTGGGGCGGTATTTTTGAGGCGGTGGTGAAGGTTGCAAAGACGCATCTCCGTCGCGTTATTGGCGAAACTATTTTGACATTTGAAGAGCTTGCCATTGTATTCTGTAAAATTGAAGCAGTCCTCAACTCTCGGCCCCTCTGTCCTCTCTCGTCCGATCCGAATGATTTAGAGGTTCTAACCCCTGGCCACTTCCTGATAGGCCAGCCGCTTAACGCCCTGCCCGAGTACCCCTTCCGGGAAATAATCTCTTCGCGGTTGAGCAGATTTGACATGCTGCAACAAATAACTCAGAGTTTTTGGCACCGATGGTCTCTGGAGTACCTACATCTTTTGCAGCAGCGCGTTAAGTGGTCTGACAAGACGGACCCCCCTCGGGTTGGAGACCTCGTGTTAGTTAAAGAACCTAACGCCTCGCCCTTGTATTGGCGCCGTGGGCGCATTGTCAAGTTGTCGTATGGACCGGATGGGATCCCTAGGGTGGCCGAGGTTTTGGTTGGAGATTCGGTTTTGCAACGTGCCGTCTCTACCCTATCCCGCTTGCCAATTTACTCGCGGACCTAGATCCTCATGTCCGGGACGGGGGCTTGTTTAGGCCTAATTTAACGTTTGGCGGCCTGCGTCGGAGCTCGGGTCGAGCGGGAGGCGAGCCTGACGGCTGAGGCGCGGGGGTGCGGGCTGGTGCGGCGTCCGGCCGCGCCGGCGTCGGCGTTTTGCGGATCACTTGCCGCAGAGCGTGGAACTGAGTAGTTGCGCGTCGTGTTAATAGTTTAGTCGCCCGCTGCCTCTGACGCCTATACTTCGCGAACCTGAGTTGTTTGCAACGCGGCCCGGTGAGATTGCATTTTTCACAAAGGTCGAGTTTGTTGTAACGCGAGTTCGGTTAAATCTTGTTGGATTTTATTGGATTAACCTAATGACAATTGACTTGACTCCAATTAACAAGTGAGAAACGAGTGTAATTTCCTAGATTCTTAAATTTTTGTGACGGACTGCCACTTCGATATAAAGAATAAAGGTGAAGCCTTGGGATCGGCGGTTCTGCAACCAGCGGGAAGTCAGGTTACATAATTTAACACAATCACAACACAACACAGTCAAGCACGCCCACACTTACACCTCAATCTTCCTAGTGTTGACCCTACTTCGAAGAAATAGGTAAGTTTTGTTTGGTTCCCTTTTTACCGCTAACGTGTAATATTCCACAAGCCATTTAGGCCGACCTCCTGTTACTCGTCGAGTGGAACCCCTGATGGGCCCGGGTCCCACGACCTTGCCCGGGTAACTAGAGGCCGTAACAGTTCCTATACATTCTGCCTTATCGAGGCATGTAAATTTTGACTTAATAAATATAACAATTGTTTACAATTATTGATGGATTTCACTTATTAATGTAATATAAAAATGTCCAATTGATAAGAAAATAAATGTCAAAATATTAATTATACTAAAAACAATGTCACACAATCGTTTACGAATGTCAAAATATAAATGTTCATTGTAAAACAGTAAAAATAACAAACCAATAGTTATTCTATAACTATCGAAGTCTTTTATAAACTCACAGCAAAAAGTTCAAGCATCTTTAGATACCGATATTTAAATATGTAATTTGCGGCAACTAGTTCTAACAGCAGCGCTGTGAGGAGTGGGTTTGTGACGCAGATCCAGCAGCACGCTATTCATCGCCCGCAACTTAATTCGGTGTAAGACGTTTTTTAATTGGTGTATACTGTATATTTATTGTTTGAATGACACGGTTATCTGCTACAAAAGTAGCCTAACTAATGTTTTAGAATAAATTATATTTAAAAACAAAAATATAGACACAAAAGTGTATGTAAATAATTGATTTTTGTATTCACAATTAATACAATTTTAAATATGCCTGTAACTGATTTATAATTTACATTAAAGTTAATATAACATTTACATCGATTATAGACAGTCGTAAGCCCGTGAGGCCGAAGATTGTTTATTGGTTTTTCTTTACTGCTTTATGTTATTTTAGGATAAATTGCCATTTATTACGAAATAATGTTCTTATATAGCACACGGTCTTTCCAACGAACGACATGTTGTAATCTCACGTGCTACGAAATTTAGCGTGCTGCAAAACTTTACGCGCTTGCCGACCTCCCATACGATTTCTTGTAAATAGCGCGATACAACATAGTGTATTTAATAGCGCGCTTGAAATTTATAGTTTATGGTCTGTAACACGCTATTGATTTATAGCTGTTTTGAACAACTTTAGAACTTGAGTAACCATCATCGACTGTCCACTGTGTTGAGTTTGATTTGACATCAAAATCTCTAAAATACCTCGCAATATGACAACATATTGTTAAGAAAAATCTCTAAAAACGAAGATCACGAATGAAATGACGACATGACTTAAAAGACGAGCATCTAAGCCAAAAGTAAATCAAGATTTAAAAATATATTTTGTGTAAATACATATATTATATGTCGATTGATTTATAGATTATAGATAAGGGATTGTTGATTGATCTAGATCAGGGATGCTCGATGTTGCAGAAACATCGATGGTGACATCGATGTTGGTATCGATAGCTTAATGTTACGAGCTTAGGGTTCGTGACCCTAAAAACTACCGATTATACTACCGAATTAACACTTTAATTACTGAACACGAATTAAAACTTAAACCACCATATGGATACCATATGGCACTAGTGCCATCAACTGTGGCGCGCAACATTAACATCGATTTTCAATATTTATCTTACTCAAAACATCGATGTTGGCTGGTTTTTGCACACGTACCTATTTAATGGGTTATTAAATTAGATGAATAAAAAAATAGTAATATTGTTTATGGTTTATTATTAGTGAAATAAAATATTTGACACACCATAATATTTATCAAAATTTTAAACCTTTAATAGGAGATGCAAGATTTAGTTGATATTGATTTCGCGAGTTCTCACTGTTCACAAGTTCTTATTTATCAATTATGGCTTCATTGACATCGATGTTTCGATGTTTGACATGTGGCAACGTCGAAGTTTTAATTTTTAACATCGATGATCATCGAACATCCCTAGATGACTAGATGTAGTTGTAGATCAGTGTTGCCATATATACAGATTTCCCCGTATTTATACAGATTTTCGGTGTGTGATACAGATTAGCACTGGATACAGATTTTTATACAGAGTTTTCCAACTCTATTGATTGGATTACCATAATATTCAACATAAAACAGAATGAAGCAAAATAAGTGACTAGATACCGCGTTACACACATTCATGATTCTATTCTTTATGGTTTATTTATTTTTTCACAACGTAGTTAGTACGGCAGAATTACAAGTGTATTATAAAATATGTATGACTGAAAGTAATAAAGTAATTATATGTTCGTTCGCTGCAAATGTTTGAGTTTTAATACGTTGTTTGTTTAAATTAATGTTTTCAATTTTGCCATATAAAAATTTTAGTGTATAGTGTATATTTTATACTTGGTAGAGCCACGCTGCAGCTATATTATGGTTGCAGCACGAATGAGTCAGCTCGACCGGGGAAGGACCACGCTCTCACAGAATAACGGCATAAAATATCAGCTTAATACTGCTGTGCTTCGTATGGTGAGTGTAGAAATCCAGAGACCCTTTTTTTACTGGAAACAAGGCATTCTATCTTAGTCCTCAGGCGTGACAACGCATCTGCGTCTTGATTCTTAAGCGAGGATAAATGTAGGTATCTATGGGCCACAGCATCCACTTACCATCGGTGTACTGTGTGCTCGTTTGTCACCCTTATTCTATAAAAAATATATTTTTATTTAATAACGATAACCAAACTTTATCAGTTTATCATGTTAGTAGTTATTCCTTATTTTTCAAAAGTAGCAATGATGATGATCAATTATTCTATTTTGGTTTATTAGGTATATTATACATATTTTATACAAATTTTAAGTTTAAATAGGATACAGATTTAATACAGATTTTAGCAGTATCTAATACAGATAAAGGGTTTAAGACATCTGGCAACACTGTTGTAGATAATAACTTGCTACATATTTATTTATCTATGATATTAAAAAATAAATCAAGGCGCGCATTACGTATGCGTAAAATTGATTTGTAATTTTAATAATAATTCGAGTCAAAGTTCACTATCGCAATATCACACTAAATAATGTAACAATAGATAACTGGAATCATTGTAAAATGGAGAGTGTAACGGTATTACCTCTATTTGTACGAATTTCAAAATATTTGTAGTCTTAATTTTTTTCCTTCAGCTTTTTACAATGGTTATACGTTTTCAGAACTTTTCTGTATCGCTTATAAAGGGTTTTATAGACAGTCTACGTGGAGTAACAGTACTTTTATACCTTGACAAAGAAATAAATGAACGAGCCCTCAGCCGATCTCCACAAATTGAATCTGAAAATAACAAACAAAAAAATGTGAAAGTCAAACAGTAAGTGTTTTTATTTTAATTACAAAATTACTCTTTACCTATTTAAGTGTCTTAATCTGTTGATAAAAGTTGGTATAGGTAGTGAGAGATCACGTATGTCTTTTTATTGACATACAAAAAGATTTTATATCTACAGTGGAATTTCTTTCTTAGAACTAAATTGCTGTTACCTAAAGTTTAATTTATAATAATCGGACTAGAGTGCCAATTTTCTTGGCCTTGGAAGAAATGGGAACAAATGTATAATATTTAACAAGGGCTTATTTACAGAGAGTTTCTGGCAGCTAACACTAAAATCATGACATATGTAAAATAATAATGCAGTGAGATTATAGAAACAATACTTTTTATGATTACTCTTAATAACTAAATTTTACTGAGTTATTGCCCCTCTCAGACTAACAAAGAAAGACAGACCGCACTGCATACATTTCAATGAGAAAATCGAGCCGAAATAATGCTTAACTTATTATAATAACATTCACTCAGATACACATATGCATCTAAAGTCATTTGTCATCAACAGCATAGGTGCATAATGTATAATATTAGCATTCAACAGTGAACCTGTTCTAGCTAAAAATTAGTGATGCAATAGAATTCTGTTTCCGCAACTGCGGAAGTTCTGCATGGTTTTTAGCATCCGTTTCTGCTTCCGTTTCTACAAGTTTTTAAACGGAACTCAGCAACATAGTCACATACATAAGTAGAGGAGGGGCGGAGAAGGGACATTTCAGCCCACCACAAGCAGGTTTATTTACAAACTTTTTATATGATAACTTTATTATATGGCGTGACATTAGTGTAAGTGTGTAAGATTTTCTGTTATTGCTTTTTAGTTAATTAGTAATTTGAGTTGTCTGTGTGTAATTTAAGTGCAATCATGAAGGCAAAAACAATCTCTGTTTGGAACTATTATGTTGAGTAGTATTATGTTGTATATTATGGTGACAATAAAATATACTCAAGAAAAAAACGCACAACTACTGCTTTAAAGAGCTATCTTAAAACAATACACGCCGAAGAGTTTGCATAGTTTGACAAGTAAGTTGAAACTGTAAAACTTTCATCGCAAACTAAAAAACAAATGGTCAGTCAAGGAATTGCATACCTATTTATTTATAAAATGTATTCCAATATTATAATTAAAAACTGTTTTTAGTTAAAACATGTTTTCTCCAGTTGAACCTAGTTTTTACTAAATGCCTTTGTTACAACTTAGATTTGTAAAATTAATTAGGCAACAGTTATGTTTATGTGAAGTTTGTATTAATTATTTTTTACTTGTAGTTTATATTATCTATTTGTAGAAACCCTAATGAGTATTTTGGATTCAAAGTTCGTTTACATTTTCTCATTAAATCTAAATGTGGCCCTATAAAGGGTCTGATCATACTTCAGTGCCAGTTTAGCTTTGGTGTATAGGTAGCATCGCCAGTGAGCAATTATTTAGCAGAGCTGGACATATCTGAAGAACACTGGAACATATTGTTAGGTGTAAAAGCGGCCGAACTACTTTTCATAAAATATAACTTACCGCTACTTAATTTTGAATGTTAATTAAAAGTTTTATTTGTAATTTTTTTATAAGTAGTATTTCCGTTTCCACATCCATTTCTGCAATAGATTGTTTTTAACATCTGTTTCCGTTTCTGCTTCCGATATGACACTTTCATTGCATCACTACTAAAAATGAAAAAAAGCATGAGTGTGTGTTGTCATGAAGTTGAGCATAGTTATGGCCTAGTTCAAAATACTCATGCAGCACTTAGCACTAGCACTTAGCTCTTTGTTGGTCTGAGTAGCTCTTGATAAAAATTTAAAATAAAAATCTTACAAAACATCGTTCATTTGGTCTTTCTTTCATCATCTTTTTTTTTTGTTTTATGCACTAAAGGCTGCCAGCTATAACCATATTAAATGAAATGAATTAATATGGTACCCAATTTGTGACTATCATTATTTTTCTACTTAGTTGTAAATGCAATTGTTTAGTAACTTTCAAAGCTGCTGCTTACTTGGACGTATTATAGTTTCTAGATGAATCCACTTTTACTGTAGCTTTCACTTAGTCTCTTTAAGTGGATAACCAAAAGGTCAGTTTAGAACTTAAGTCAAAGCCAATTCTCTGAATGAAAGACTGAACAATTTGTTGTGAACAACTTTAAACATAATGTTCCTAATGACAACAAATATATTGATGATATATAAAGGTGGTTTCAATCAGTTACTAAGCATTACTAAAGACACATTAGCATATTGAAACAAATGAAATTTAACATGTCTATTGTTTGCTGTTTCTACTGTTTAATATGTTAATCAAATACTGAATTTAAATTTTAAATGCGATAATGTTTTCTATAATAATGATTTAGGCTTTAAATTTAATCTAGTTTTACATGTATTTTGGTAGAATTTAAATAGTAGATTTTGGTGTCAGTGAACAGGCTTTTGGTAAACTCAGTCTTTTTCTTTCTTTAGCTATGTCACCACTTATATCAGATGGGGATAGTATTGAAACACTGGTTCGTAATTGGGAAAAAAACCAAGGGCGAAGGAGAGGACAGAAAAATTAATTTTGTATTAAGTATTTTACGGATGGTCCTTTAGTTGTCAGTGAACCTGTTCATCTATACCTTAAAAAACTAATTTTTATCATAGCTTGATCGACAGTTTGAATTTCGACCCTATTTTCAGGGACGAAAGTGTCATGTTGTCTCCTGATTCAGTGACTTGTTAATTCAGTACGCATGCGTCAAATTTCTAGTATGCATGCGTCAAATTTTTAGTATGCATGCATCAAATTTCTAGTATGCATGCGTCAAATTTTTAGTTCCATCGTTTGTAAAGACCAAAAGTCTATGTCATGATACAATTTAACCTCACCATTATTTATTATTTATTTTTTTAAAACGTTACCCCCCAGAGTTGTGTGTGAATGAGTTAGACTTGGAGAATGTGTGGCATAATGTTAAGAAAGGTTTAGTGGATGCAGCTACAGAAGTATGTGGTGTTAGTAAGAGAACGAATGAAAGGAAAGATAATACGTTATGGTGGGATGATGAGGTATGTATGGAAGTTGAAGCAAAGAAGAGACCATGGCTAGATTTACTAGCGACCAAAGCTGGTAATTCTGGCGGTAAGAATGAAGGAAAAAAGGCAGAGTTTAAACGTTTAAATAAGAGAGTAAAAGAATTAGTTGAAAGGCAAAAGCAAGAAAGAACGGATAAGAATGATAGAAGAATATCGGATAACTTCCAGGCAAATATTAAAATGTTCTGGAAACTCGTAAGAAATACCAGGGGACTTTCAAAAGAGCCTAGATTGAATGCGATACGAGACGAGAATGGCTGTATCCTAAATGATGAAGTGTTGAGTCTAAAGAGATGGAAGGAATATTTTGAAAGCGTATTTATGAGTGAGGAGAAGTGTGAACTAAATGAAATAGAAATTCCGAAAGAAGATGAAAGAGATAGGGAGATAAGTATAGATGAAATAATGAAAGCAATGAAAAGCATGAAAGTAGGTAAGGCAGCCGGATATGTAGAGTTTCACTCGAAATGCTAAGGGCTGGAGAGGACGTGGTGGCAGGCCTGCTGTACACCTTGCTTAATTTATGTTGGGAACTAAAGCGGGTACCGGGAGACTGGTGCAAAGCCGTGATAGTCCCAATATATAAGGGAAAAGGGTCACAGCAGGTCTGTAAAAACTACCGTGTTATCAGCCTTCTTAGCATTGTGGGAAAACTGTACGCTAAGGTACTAATTGAAAGAGTTATGAAAGAAACTGATGAAAAAATTTGGGATGTGCAAGCGGGATTTATAAAGGGAATTGGGTGTACAGATCAAGTCTTTTCCATGCGCATGATTGCGGAGAATAAAAGTTTTTTGTGCGTTCATGGACTTGGAAAAGGCTTATGACAGAGTGGACAGGGATGTGTTATGGCAAACGCTGAACGCATTTAGGTTGAGCGCTGGTTTGATACAGGCATTAAAGTCTCTGTATAGGAACTCGAGTGCTAGTGTTAGAATCAACGGGGTCTACTCGGACTGGTTTGGCATCCATAAAGGTGTCAGACAGGGTTGTGTAGCTTCCCCGTGGCTGTTCAGCCTATTTATGGACAGCTGTTTGGAAAATTTGAAAGTTGAAAAATGCGGGTTAAGAATGGGTGAGTTAACCATCAAATGCCTTTTGTACGCCGATGATCAAGTCATACTTGCGTCGTCGGCGGCCAATTTGCAAATGATGGTTACATTAATGAACAGGTCATTAAAAGAAAGGGGAATGAAAGTGAACGCAAGTAAGACGAAAGTGATGGTTTTTGAAAGAGATGAAAGCAAAACGGTATGTGAAATAAGAATAGAAGGAAGAGTTAATTGAGCAAGTGGATGAGTTCGTATATTTGGGATGTGTATTCAGCAGGGGTGGGAGATATGATAAGGATATTGAACGACGAGTGAATGCAGGAAATAAAGTAAATGGGGCTCTACACTCTATTGTGAAAAGTCAGAATGTGTCAAAAAAGGCACGTATGGCAATTCACAGTGCTGTATTAGTCCCTACTTTAACGTATGGTAGTGAAAGTTGGGTGTGGCAGAAGAAGCACGAGAGTAGAATAAATGCGGTCGCTAAGGAGTATGTTAGGGCTGAATCTGAGTGACAGGGTGAGAAACTGTGTGATAAAAGAAGAGTGTGGTTTGCAAGATGATACGGTGACCAGGATTAAGAAAGGAATGCTTCGGTGGTTTGGTCATGTAGAAAGAATGAATGCGGAAAGACTGACAAAGCAAATATATGTTGCAGAAGTGAATGGAAGAGTCGGAAAGGGACGTCCTAGGCGAAAGATTGTCGACCAAATTGGCGATATACTAAAAATGGGCCAAATTAAGAGTACCCATTAACCGACGAGCATGTATGCGTAGGTATATGGATGTGGAAGAGGCGAGAAAGTTATGTCAGGATCGTGCTAAATGGAAGTCTGTAGTCTCTGCCTACCTCTC